CTGACTGCATGGGGGGTTATCAGTCTTGGTTGATGGATTGGATGGCTGCGATTGAGTAGCCTGGAGAGTCGAGGCAGAAGGTAAAAGGGAAAATGAGGGTTCCGACGGTGTGGACGGTGTGGATGGAGGGCTGTGCATGGAAATATACTCTGTAGTGCTATTAGCCTGCTTGAACAAAAAGTGTTAGCGCATTTGTCTCATAAAAAGAAAAAGTTTCTCACCTGGTCATCATTGGAGCTTGAGTCACTTGAGAACAACTGAGAGGACCTGTGGCCTTGCAAGTTGCCATGACCTTCGCTTTTCCAATCGAGTCTGCAAGTTGAACCAAGGGGGGTACACAATTTTAATTTAATATATCATGCTGATTTTTTTCATAAGGCCACTATGGCAGGACTAACTAACCAGCGTGCAAATAAATTACCATATATAGGTAAAGTCTATAAATAGGTACTGTGTTTTGGGCATCATTTGGGCATTGTGTCAGCTGCCACCTTATCTACACTGCACGCCTTCGTTTGCTGCCCCTTCCTCTGCTTTTTTCTACGCTCTTGGATGGGTCACAAACCCAGTCGTTGATACCATGATCCAGTCCAACGCAGAAAAGATGGTACTGCATAGTTAGTGGTGAGTAGAAGGCAGAAAATGACATGAAAAGAAATGTCTTACCCACAATGTCTCACAGCCTTTTCGTCTGGAGATAATTATTCTGCTTTTGTCATCGGCCTCAACTTTGTCTATACTCTCGCCGCAATCACACACTCTCACAAGCTTTCATTTACTGGTGTTCCTCAAACCTACTCATAGGCTTCTCAGGTCAGAGTTTGCAGAGGCAGTGGGTATGTTGAGATCTATAGCAAATTTGTGAGTTTCATGCCCATTCCCACTGTTGGTTCATGTGTTGATGGCTTCTAGCTCATTTGCACGTAGGCCAACTTTTTGTGTGATGATGGCTGAAACAACTGCATCAGTCGCATCAAGCATCTCGTCTGCAGGTAGCCCAACCTCTTGCACAATGACAGCTGGAACAACTGCGTCGTTCGTGTCAAGCATGTCTCCATCATTGGAAGGACAACAGAACGGGTAAGTAAGGAGAGCTCGTCAAACACGTCAGAGAGCGCACCAGTCTAATCTAAGCTCATCCAGTCCATAAATTACCCGAAATTGGTACTTAAAATAAAATAAAATTTAACGGCCTGGCGGCTGGACTAACTAACTGGCCCCATATGGCAAATTCAAATCCTGCTCCCCCCTTGAGTTGAACGACAAAGAGGAGGCTATTGGATGCCTGTAGGCTTCATTGGAAGCTGAAGAGGGGGTCACAGAGAACCTGGGACAGTCTTCGGTACACTCCACAACTACATGTCTGATGATGTGCTCATCGTTGTCGTTGTCATTGTTGTTGCTCTTCTTCTTCTTTGGCTTGTATTCATGCAAGGTGTAACAGTGGTTTATACTTTACCTTGGCATGACATTGAATCATAGTAGTTACAATTGTTTGTTCCTTGTTTATCTTGTGTTGTGGCCCCTTCGTAGTACTTACCTTCTTACCATGACTACTCATAATACATGGATTGGGTTGCAGATACGATTTATGGCCAGACAACCCATCGTCTCCCCTCCAGGATACAAGAGCCCTGCGCTGGGTGACAGCATCCCTAATCCAGGGTCACAGGATATCTTAGGCGTGTTACTGCCACACGGAACCATGCCACCAACACAAGTCAACAATGTAGTCTGCACTACACCCGACACTCTCGCCTCGCACTCATGACCTTGTTGAGAAGTCTACGACGATAGGAGGTCTTTATTGTCCTCCACTGATTCCTGCCGGAATCTGGCGGAATCCAGGCAATTCCTGGAATTCCAGAGGAATCAAATTTGGCAGAGGGCCCTGCCAAATTGTTTCATCAATTCCGCAGAATTTTGAATGGAATTCAAATTCCGCCAGAATGGTTCCAGGAATCACCCAGAAGGAATGATCACGGAACATGACGGAACAGAATTCCTGACACCCAAATTGAGTGTCGGTGTTTGCCGACGCTTGATTTGGGCATCATCAACAACACACCCTCTCAACCACCACCATCATCCACGACGCCCACCCATCGCCACGTCACCACAATCACCCGTGGTCACCACCACCCACGACACTCATCAATCAGCAACCCCGACCACCTCAATGCATCAAGAACAATACAAGAACGCCACGTCACCAGCAAACGATGCCACATCGCTGATAGCGACGTCATTCGTCATCATCCAAAGGTAAGTGCCCCCCCTCCTCCATCCCATCCCACCCCACTAATGACTACGAAAACACGACACGACGACAACAGGACACGACAGCGACACGCCACGACATGACAATGACAACACAACACCACGAGAACACAACATGACGACAACACGACACAATGGCAACGCAACACAACGATGGCAACATGACACGACGATGACGCACACCCACGTCGTCGGACAATGAGAAAACACAACACCATGACAACACAACACGATGGCGACGCAACACGACAACGACAATGCAACACGACAACGGCAATGTGACATGACAAAGATGCGCCCACATCATTGAGCCTTCCTTCCCTCCCTTTTCCCCCCTTCCCTGTCCCCCCTTTCTCTTCCCCTTCCTTGTCCATCTTCCCTCCCCTTTCTCTCCCCCTTCCTTGTCCATCTTCCCTCCCCTTTCTCTCCCTCTTCCTTGTCCATCCCCCCTTCCTTTTCTCTCCCCCTTCTCTATCCCTTCCTTATGTGTACCTTTCTGTACCCATCTTTCCCCCCTCCCTTCCCTCCCCCCTCCCCCCTTCCCTATGCCTCCCTATTCCTCATACTTCTCTTTGTCCATCCCCCTTCCCTACTGTAGTAAAATAGATTTTATGTATCAATAAAATACATTAAAAATTTGTTCTATTGAGATCTTATGGCTTGAGTAGGTGTGAATTTGTAGTAAAATAGATTTTATGTCTCAATAAAATACATTAAAATTTGTCTACTGAGGTCTATGACTTGACTAGGTGTGAATTGTATAAGAAATTTTGTCTGTTGAGGAATTGAATTAGTGCAGATTAAGTCTCTAGCTCAGTGCTGATCTATTCTGATTTATAACCTAAATAATGAGATTTTCTGCCTATTCCACTTGGATTCCTGCATATTCCAGTCAGATTCCTTCAGAATTCCTGGATTCCAGCTGGAATCTGTGGAATCCGGTAGGAAACAGTGGAGGAATGGAAAGTATTGCCATTTTTCAGCAAAGAAAGAGTTTGCCAACCGCATATACGGCCTGGCTGCAGCTGATGGTTGCCCATTTTGATGCCGTCGAAATCATCGTGGAATATATGCAGAAACACCAGTGCCACACAGTCTCTGTCGACATTCTGGTTGCTCCAGCGGCTCACAAAAGCATGCTCCTGTGGCGGGATCTCTTTTTGGGTAATCATCTTCCAAATACGGGTATGACTGGAGACTTTCCCTCCCAAGATGACATCCGTCAGTTCTTGGAGGAGGGTGTGACGAGAGCAGCAGCCGCAAACTTCGACCTTGCTTTGGCCAACACTGCCTGCTAACAGTGGGGATCAGGTCAAGGTCCAAAACACTCCGAGACGGTGGTGACCTTGCAAAAATTCCATGAGGACTCCAAAGTCCTAATGCAGGTCCATGATATTGAGACAAAGATCTCTGAATGGCAGTCAATGCCAAAGTATCAGGGGCGTAACTAGTGTTTAAAGGTTCAGTCCATAGGACCGCAAAAAACCGGTGGACCGAACTGAACCGGACCATGGTCTGGTCTTTTTTTCGGTTGCAGTTGCCCCAATTTGGGGTTGGTCCGGTTGCCGGTTGCCTCATTTCGAAAATCTTTTAAAACCGTTCAAAGACCGGTTTTAATCGGTTGCAACCGGTTAAACGGTCACGTGCGTTACATAGCCTTGTAACCACGTTTATTGCCTTTTATTGGGTTTTTGTTTCATCAAAAACGGTTAAGAATTGAGAAAGATATAACCAAATCCATATTTTACCTGAGTCTCTATGAGATGTAATTCGGTTTCAGTCATAGCTATGTCAAATCTTCATTAAATCTCTTGAAAATTGGTAGAATGATGGGTATTTATATGCTTTACTATTTTATATAACCTGTTTATTTTTCAGAGTAATAATGGTTGAGATACAAATGGTTTATATTGGTATAATAAATTATACGCAAAAAAACCGGTCTGGATCGGTCTGAACCGGTATCATGGACCGCAAAAGACCGGTCCTAGGTGGTTCGGTTCGGTTCCCTCAATATCTGGGTCGGTCCTGGACCGGTTGCGCGTTTTCGGGGCAAAAAACCGGACTGAACTGAACCTTTAAAAAAAAAACACTAGGCGTAACAAGAAAGACAGAGCACAATTGTCAAGGAATATCTCGTCCATGATCAAGGAACTGAAAATTGACGTTGATAAACACTGTAAAAGTGAATGCTTCTTTTCAAACCTGGAGAAAACATCATTCAAAGGGACCCTCCATTGTGAAGCCTGCCTGGCAAGTGTCCTACCTTCCTTTACCGAACACTTCCCAGCCGACAGCAATGAGTACAAGGGGATGGATGTGTCAAAATTACAGGTAGAATATCTTTGTTTTATTCCTTTCCGTCCTGTGATTTACCCATTTATAGGGCTACAGGCAGGTGATTGGAGTGTCAAAACGATGTTGCCCATGTTGTGCAGCATTCCTGCAGTTGCTACTGAAAGGGCGTGAAGAAAATTTTGTGGTACGAGGAAACCACAGAAAGATCTTCCCTTGTGCTCTACCACCATGGACTCCACACAACATCGTGGGGGTGATGACGACCATGTTTGGAGGGCTGTTGCTGCAAGATCTTGCAGTCCTGAAAAAGCGAAGGAGCAGGGCAGTTTTTCGAGACAGATGCCAGTCTACTGGCTCAGACTCCTTATCAATTGAGAGTGATGAGGGTCAATGTATCGTCATCAGCCAGAGATTCTCTGATTCCCCAAAGTGTGGTTCGTTTGTTTTCAGAAATTTGCATTAGATATACAAGTTACAGGGAGTATACAAAAATATTCAAGAATGCATGATAAATGCCCAGCAAATAAAAATAACCAAAGAGAAGCGATTGAACTATTGTTGTATGATTCAAGCAAAGAGAACTTGGAGAACAAGCCCACCTAAACCTTCAATACGGTGGACAGAAATTGCTTCTGAGCCTGTGGATCGAGCATGTATTAGCGTTGTCCAGGTTCATGAAGGTCACGAGATCTTGTCTCAACATCAGTCCCAACTTCTGATTCATCAGGTCCATGATATGACTTGGAGTCCATGTGTAATAGGTGTCCTGTGAGGCACAGTAGGAGTGGGTGGTCGAAGCGACGACGTGGTGTCTGGCGAACGTGGATGTTTATCCTGTTACGTAGGTGTGGAGACCAATTGTACTTCGTACGGCTTGGTCTTCTTGATTCACGAACTCTTAGCGGAGGTCGCTGGTGCTTCGGATATCCGTTGCGCGACCTCTGCTCCTCCTCAGGAAGTCCTTAAGGAAGTAGAGTTCGAGAAGGAAGGTAGTTGAATATTTGAATACCTCTAGGAGAATATTCAATGATCTCACAAACTCGGATCACTTACTTTGACTCTAAAGGAGGACGCGATACGACGCGGCCGCTCAATGAGCGAACGTAGTGGTGGTACGATGAATAGAAAAAGATGTCACTACTACACGTGTGCTAGTGTGACTAATGCGAGTTGAATCGTGACAGTCATGAAGTAAGCGAAATAAACAAAACACAAAGTATAACATCGTAAGAAGGAAATTACCCCAGAGACTTGTGCAGACACTGAACATATGTCACAGAGCCCCCCTAATTTCCATCTAACGAATCAAAAGGAATGGGGATGGGGATATCCGCAATGCGCCGCCCGTGCCATCCACCTGGGAAATCACGTAAGAGCTCATCCGTGCGAGTAAAATGGGAGTTGGTGAGGACAATTGCCGGACGCCGGGTACCATGGTTTGGACTGTGAAGATAAGCTTTCCAACCTTTCCGCGTGAGAGGTTTAGCTGTGCCTCGGTCCAGTCCCTTAGCGATGTTATGGAAGATGAGATCGCAGCCTTGAGTCCATTCCCCACGCCAGTGGTTGCAGTAATCCTCCATAATCTCGGTGGTGGGGAATAGCCAGCGATGATGTTCTGGGTTCTCAGCTGGAACGAAGCCATGGACAAGGTTCTCCTCTTGTGCCGAAATCTGATCGTGGAACAAGGGTTCGTCGTAGAACGGGGAAGAAGTGACCGCTCCCCTATGATGGACAGTGACTTGGGTTGATGGGCCGTCCATAAAGCGTTGAATCATGGGGGGACCACCATAACGTTTGGCAATCCAGGCTGTGGGGCCACCCATACTGATAAGAGCTCTAGCCTGCGGTCTCCGTAGGATATCTGCTAATTTGCCCATGTACTGGTCACGAAAAGCCGCGCCACCGTTAATGTCCTTTAGGTGTTCCTCCTGGAAGCCGGTTTCGTAGGTGCGTTTCGTAAGCTCGGATAACTCTGGAGTGGTAATGGGTTTAAAAGTCTTCAGATCACTCATCGACGTCGCCATGATGAACTTCATGTTGCGAGATATTGCCAATTCGAGGAGTTGGCGCATGGATGAAATCCCCGGATCGCAAGCTGCCCAGTACCGAAGGCGAGTCAACGTACGGTTATCAGGGAAAAGAAGAATACTGTCCCTATAGAAGGACGTATCCCAATCCAGGTTAGGCGGGATTGACCAGATGGTGCCGTGGTAGGTGATCATACTACATTCTTCTTCCAGTTTCGCAATCGCTCGTTGACGGCCAGCTGGTGTTATCGGGGTGGAACCAGCACGACGCTGTTCATAGGTTTGAGGGCGAGGAGAGGCTGAACGGCCACGACTCCGGTTGGTGGACGAAATTCGAGATGTGGGACGTGACTGCGATGTACTCGCTGAATCGCTGTCCGAGAATCCGGATCCACGTTGCCGGCTATTGGATACCATCAACCGAAGCAATCGGCCAGCGCCCAGAGAGAGCTCGTCTCGGGTACCATGCTTCCGGGGATGCATCCTGTTCAGAGGTATACCAGCGAGAGGCAACGGGAGTATGAGACGACCCTCCAAATCGAATCGTTCGCCCGGGATCGGAGCGTGCTTGTATTTATGTAACTCTCGTATTTCGTATGAGCTCCTTGTAAAGCTGCTGCAGTCCTCACTTGACTCGGTGGGACCGACAAAGTGAGGGAGCCCATCTGTGAGGTTATCCAGAGGTTCCCATCGACGGAAGAGGACAGTCGTCCCTTGGCTTTCTCTGTCCACAGTAGACGCGAAGAGAACATAATATTCCTGAGCCACGCTGATGGGAATGCGACGGCGTGACCATCCTCGAAAGTCAACCACATAATAATCCCAATCGTCGTCGAACCGGACGTCTGGGTCTGGCCGGCCTTTGACACAGGTTTCTTGGAAGAAGCGATCGTACTGTCGGATCACAGCAAATTCGTCGGACCAGTCGTCAAAGTCCGTGGAGTGGACTTCACCTCCCGTCGAGATTCGTCGTTCGTCATACGCTTGTAGAATGCGAGGGGCGAAGGAACGGAAGCGTGGGGAGCAGGATAATGAGGGTGACCATGGATAAGCAATTGGCACTCCATGCCGCAGAAGGTTCGTGACGTTGATCTCCTGCCAATGCTGTTCCAAATCCACTAATACCCCTCGTCTGCGGAAGCGCTCGAGGCGAAGGCTCTTGATCTGGTCGGCTACTGGGGCGTCGAGATCCGCTTCCCATCGAGAGATTGATACCGTCCACCATGTAAGGAAACCGAGGTAATCGACTGCTGTTCTCTTCGCAACTGCTCCTGCTGCTTGTAACTCTTCACAGCTGGAAAAACCCTGAAAGAGAATGCCTTGGTCATATGGGCGCGGGCGAGCGGAATCGCAGGGGAATGGGTGGTGTGTCGTAATCTCGTCGATGAGCCAAGACCAGAGGACGAGGTCCGCGTCGATTGCTGAGCGGGTGGGACCCGGAATAATGAAACCTTCGCTGTCGCCCTGTTCCCAAGGTATAGATGATCCCAGATCGAAAAACCAGTCCTGGCCACTCTCGCTTAAGGTCCCCTCAACCGAGTCATCCGACTTCGTGGGTATGAAGGGCCGCCAGCTAGCGTCGCGGTCGTACCAGTCCGTATCCAATGCCCATTCCATTTCTAAGAACACCCCAGTGGGTCCTGTAGCTCGGTGATCGTCCGCTTTGCGCGATCTGTAGTCCATGGCTTCCGCTGGGATCGTCATCGCGGAAGCGTTAAGAGCCATCCAAGAGTCCCCCTCGACCGTTCGGAATTCTATCGTAGGTAGGCCTCCCGAACCATCTGTGAACAAAAGATCCATGATCAGACGCTGACGATGGAAATCCGTCAACAGCACCTGACCTCCCGAAGGACGTATGAGCAGGAAATCCTCGCTCGGAAGTCAATCGAGATGAAAGACGAGGGAAGAAGAAGAAACAACGATCGAGAGATGATAAAGAAAAAGAAGAAAGGGGAAACTAAAGAAGGAAAACAAAGAACAATAAAAGAAAAGAAAGAAGCACGTGAAACTACAGTGAGCGATAACGCACTCAAGAACAAAGTACATAAGTTAAGAGCCTCAGAACATGACCATTGAGTCGTACCGACGTCAAGCCGGAAGTGATTGAGGGACAACTCGCCCTCGGATTGTGGATACTGAACTCATAAGCTGTGGGCCCGTTTGTACTCGCTCAGTACAATGGGCGCGTTTTTGAGGTAAGAAGTTGGTTCCCATGTATCAAACTGAGGACCGTATCCTTCCCAGCGAACTAACCATTCCAGTCCTCGTTTCGTTCTACGATGACCGACGATAGCCTCCACACTATATTCCTCCAATGGGGCTTTCATGCGTCGGGATTCCTTCATAATGGTGCGTTCGCCCCAACTCTTATCCGAAACATGATAAGGCTTCAAGTGTTCAATGTTGAATACAGGAAGGCCGGGGTACTGGTCACCCATGCGCAAACGATACACTTTTGGATTGATTTTCTGTGTCACCTCAAAGGGCCCAATCCAGCGTTGTTTGAGCTTAGTCCCCGTGCCCTTCGCATCCACCCATTCGAGGGAATGAGGGTTAACCAAAACTTGTGAGCCTTCTTTGAATTCCGGAACTTCCTTGCGGCCTCTATTATATTGTGTCGCCTGTCTATCTTGTGCAGCTGCTATTGCAGACCTCGCGCTATCCCTGTGCATAGCTAAGGTTTCCAGAAAGCTAATTGCTGTCGGTGACAAGGAGTAGCTCTTCGCGTCCGCTTTCACTGGTTTCAAAAAATCGAGTGGAGTCCTTGGATGAAATCCGTACAGCAAAAAGAAAGGAGTCGTCCCGGTAGAGCTGTGGACGGCGTTATTATATGCGAATTCGAGGACATGCAACCATATTGCCCAGTCCGATAGGTCGTCACCAACGTATGCTCGCAACATTGTCGCAAGTTGTTTATTCACGACTTCAGTCTGGCCATCGTGCTGGGGATGATGAGAAGAAGATAGCGACATCTTCGTCTTCAGGTATTTTGCCACTCCTCTCCAGAAATCTGATGTCCATCTAGGGTCACGATCGGTGATGATACTCTCAGGGAGACCAAATCGACAGCCAATATGCTTGACGTATAGCTCTCCGAATTCTTCTGCAGTGAGTCCAGTTGTTGTTGGTATAAAACTTGCATGTTTCGTTAATCTGTCAACCACAACAAAGATAGCGTTGGCTTGTTCTGACCATGGTAGATTTACGATGAAATCCATTGAAACCGATTGGTAAGGGCGACTGGGAATGGGATTGGGACTAAGAAATCCAAATCTATTGAAATTGGAGAATTTAGTTTTTTGGCATACGTCGCAAGAACTTGCGAAAGCGAGTACGTCTGCTTTCATTCGTCTCCAATAGAACTTTTGGCTGAGTTGTTGCCATAAGCGCTCTGGTCCCGCGTGACTCGACTCCATGGGATTCTCATGCGCCTCTCTCAAGACGAAGTTCCGCTGTGACTTGGGAACGC